GAAGGTGCTCCAGAAGGCTCTTTGAGTGTAGCCACAAGAAGCAATTGGATAAACTCGAGCGTTTTTGTTGATGTTCCATAGCACATCCAGAAACACACCTTATGTTCGCGAGAAAATCCAATATTGATTTCATGTGACAATCAGAAAGTCACATTTCTATTGACATCCACTACTGTCGTGACAATAGAATTGTATGCGTTTCATTTCTATCACACACGACTCGCCGTCTTCAACCATGTTGGCGTAGTCCTCAGTCCGTTAGACCTTAGATCGCACAATTTTCGACTTTTGAGAGTTATTTTTCGATGGGGGAGACAGCTGGTTAACGGAAAAACAGATTTTAGGTCGAAATTATAAACAGCATTCAATGACTAGCACGTTTCCAACCCAAAACAATCACTAAATATTTATAATATCCCAAAACCTACAAATATGCCTCATTTTAAATCATTCAATGGTGGAAATATAACCAGTGCTTATGAAAAAACCAAAATATGGCCTTTTAATTAGTTTATTTTCAATGATAATGATGATCCTGTGGAAAATAATGAAGGCACAGGTAGTAATGAGCTTGCAATAGCTGGTACTGAAGTTGATGATCTTTCTGCTCGAACACCTCCGGCTTTGTCCAGAGATGTCTCGCATTCATTGCTTTCAAAACATTTTGCATCAACAGTGATAGATCTTGATAATCCTGAACCATCTACTTCCAAAGTATTAATCACACCAGGAATGATGAGACATTTCCCGATAGATTACAAAAAGCCATACAAGTGTTTTTACACAAAGTACATGTTTTTGGTATATAGTTGGATAGTGAGACTATTTTCTGATAAATTGATTAGTTATCGATACCTGAGGGATTCCTATGAGACTAAATATAAAAATAGTATGAAGCTGCCCCACCTTTTCCTGCCACCTACTAATTATACAATGATTCTATAACTGTAGAAGGTACAAACAAGCCAATAATGTTTTATTTTTGCACATTGAACACGATTACACCATTATTTTAACAGTTCTAGAGAGTATTGATGACACATAAGTTAATAAAATAAGAGGCAACGTTGTGATGAAAATAAATGATTCAGTTTATTAGTCGAAAATGATTAACGACTGGTTGGTGACGTTCAAAGAATCGATATTTGAATTTCCCTGCCGTGAAACACGAAGAGTTATGAACTTTCCGTGTAAATCAATTATTCTCAGCACAAGTAATCAGATTTTCCGTGACCTTTTCACCTGCAAATTGCGTGATATGACTTACTTTGTGAATGAACATTCACAAACATGAATTCTACCTACACCATTTACATAAATAGAAGTCAATGCGCAGAGAGGTTCCCGTTGACTCATTAATGGAAACCGTTTTCTGTTTCCCTATAATTTATTCGCATTTATATAACGCGAGAAACGCTGGAAATTTGTTTTAGATGGAATGATAGTGTGCACAAGCATATGTTTTATTGACTTCACAGGCGTTTTATAACAGCACGCTATTCTCTTCGAAAGATTTAACGTAAGTGGTGAATTCATATAGAAAATTCTCAACACGAATAATCTACTTTCGTTGAGTTACTGAAAAATGGAATTCGAACATCTGACATAGAATGAATCCAACCAAAATTCTTTCACCTCACGAAAGAATCTCAAGATTTAATTGTAATTATGAGAGGCATACTATTAGCTTTAAAGGTTTGCTTTTTTCCAAAACGATGCTGATGAGGTAATGATACAAGTATTTTCTCTCGAAACGTCCTTTCATGTAAGTATATTACGATGAATAATATGTGTTTCATTCTATAACGAATTTTTAAAGTACAAACAAAATGGAAAAAAGTTATTTTCGTGTTATTTTGAGTGTCATGAAAGTAGTTGTTTCGAATGAACTTTTTCTTTTCGTGTTACTGAATGTTCATGTAAAAGTAGTTTGTATCTAAAATAAACTTTTGTGCATGGTTTGCATATCTTTGTAAGGAGTTTCTTTAGTAGTTTTCTTATACGTTTATTTGGAAGTTTTCCACATCTTTTCATTTTTGAAGAAATGAGAACACAAATATATAGAGGAGTTATGAAGATACTGGCGAAATTTTATGTTTTCTATTTCCATTGCGCTCAGCTATGTCCGTGAGAAGAGTTTTCTCAAAAAGACTGTTCCCAGGGTCCCCTTGCTCGCAGGTCAAATTGTATTGTATTGCATCAGCAGTATTTTAATTATTTGAATGTCATACCGGAGTCAGTACCGAAACATTTAAAATACCGTTCTACTCCACAAATTATGGTTTTTCCTCTCCTGTCACTCGAATGCTCAGAAATGGGAATACATATCAACAGGTTGATATCTTAAACAGCTCCACAAACACCATAAAATTGAACTGACTCGTATTATTTCCTGAAACATTCTCGTTAATCATTTTGTACTATATTTCTTCATTATATTGTTATTTCTTTCCTGTACTATAATATTGTACCACAATTCTGTATTTTACCACTATATTGTACTGTGATTTGACTACTGTATTGTATTTTGTTTTATATTATTGGCTTGAGTACAGATGGAGCAAAAGCTATGTCAGGTAGATTGACAGAGCTAGCAGCAGCAGCAGCAGCTCATGAATGCAAAAGTACGCATTGCGTCATCCATCGAGAAGCATTAGCTGCGCTAAAGGTATGCCGGAAAATCTTAACTTCGTTCTATCAGATGCATAAACACAAGATTATTCTCTTTGATGTGTGAAGAAATGGGTGGCAAGTTCAGGACTTTACTCCTGCATACAGAAGTGAGGTGGTTATCTCGGCGGGAAATTTTGAACAGTTTGAAATCAAAGGTTTTATGTTTTTAAGTGAAAAAAATCATGACTTGAAAAACTTTTTTGCTGATCAAGAATGGTTGTCAAGATTGGATTATCTATCCGACATTTTTGACAAACTCAACACACTGAACTCAGGACTTCAGGGACCAAACACAACAGTCCTCACAGCCAGTGAAAAAGTAAACTCCTTCGTTTGTCCTGTTTTGTTCACAAATACAGGAGGAGAATTTGTCTGCATTTCTCACTCTATCATCATTTTTTGAAGAAAACTAAATTTCTTCACTACCAGATGTGGTTACAGATACCACTGTTCACTTGGAGGGCCTTCAAAAAAGTTTCAAGATGTATTTCAAGAAAGTTTTATCGATCTTACAGAAGATAGTTCCGAGACAGATTATTTTAAAAATAAATCTTCAATTATCTTCTGGATTGGATGTAAAACCGAACACCCTTTTATCTTCCGGCAAACTCTGCTATTTTTGATGCCATTTGTCACGAGTGAGAGTGTATTGTCTGAACTTTTGTACATAAAAAATGAACATAGAAGCAGAATAAGTGTTGAAGAGGACTTAGGAGTGAAGATAAGTTCCACTACTCCTGATGTTGATATTTCAATCACAGGCAAACAACACCAAGTTTCGCACTAAAGATTATAAAAGTATATTTTGTATGATGATTCACTTTTTGCAAAGTGTACTAATTTTTTATTTGAATGTTTTTAGACCTATGGGTAATGAATAAAACTGAATATTTTTATTTCTCACACTAAAGACTATAAAAGTATATTTTGTATGATGATTCACTTTTTGCTAAGTTTGTACTAATTTTTCATTTGTATGTTTTTAGACCTATGGATAATAAATAAAACTGTGAATCTTTTTATTTCTTCTTTAATATAAGCATATTATAAGTAAACAGATATCTAACCATTAAATATGAAGTTTTCTCAGGAATTTCATTCAAGAAACCTTTGAACATTTTCAGAAAAGTAAATTTTATAGTATTAAAATATTTATGTCTGGTGATACGCCAAAATAAAAAAAGCAGGTTGGGAACCCCTGTTATAGAGCACTGACCCTAGCGAAAATGGTGAATATTTTCTACAGTTTATTTTGGCTAATAACTTAGACATCTTGAACGATGGCAATAAACGTACCTTCAAAGGTATGAGACGTACGGTTGGCATACAAATGTTGGAACTTTCTGGCTAAAGCTGCAAGCAGAAACCGTGTAGTGTAGAAGACAGTTTATTGCCAATATTTCGATAGTTAATCTTCAGAAAAAACTAAAAAAAATATGGGACTAGTATACACGATTGATAAAAAATTACTAACAGTGTTGGTGAAGATGATCATAAAAAGATTCACACAATATGGAGTAAAATCAAAATTTTTAAATTCAACTCATGGTCTCAACCACAATAAGCAGTAAGTGATAATTTGTCAGAAATTCAAGAAACTTCATTTTTTGAAACATGGGCAATACAATCGAATCTTAGAAAGTATCTTATGATCATTCCGAAAAAACAAATTGGAAAAATAATAAGATACACCTCAAAACCAGACATGATGTACATCATGATATGTTGGCATTTTTAGTTTGGTGGCTACGAAACAAGTGGCCACTTTTAACCAAGTAGAGGTATAAAGCCTTGTTTTCTTGGAAATAGCATCACCATTGGAAACACTCCTGCATCTGCCCCTTTATCTTATAATAATAGAGGAGGCAATGGTGGGTCAGTTCAGACTAGAAGAATAGTCAACATTCAAATAAACAGGTAAACTGGAAATTTTTGAAATATATGATGAAATGAACTAATTAATGGAGTGACACCAGAGTACACATTCGACACAAACTTTTTAGTTAAAATGAACGTTCAACAATGGACGTTAAATACCTGAATATCTTGAGAATATGTTTGGCAAAAATACCTATATCAGGTGAAGCCCTCTTCCGAATGGAGTAGAAATCGCCCCATAATAAATATCCAATGGATTAGGTATACCTGAACAAAGCAAGCAATTCATGGACAACCCTAAAATTGTGTCCAAATGATTATGACAAAAATCCAACAAAAAACATGTACAAACTAGTACAGCAAACAAGCTTATTGGAATGAGTGCTACAAAATATGGAAGAAAAAAGCAATTTTGCAATTTTTCCGGAAACTTGGACAAGTCAGAGCACTGGGGAAGAAATGCGGAAAACATACGATGTGTATTTACCCTGAAGGAAAAGTGGGAGCAGCTTGTAAAGGATTCCTGAACGTACCTTTCACTGACGGAGAAATTGAAGCGATCGTTGATATGCATAACACAATAAGAAATAAGGTACAAATTTAGATTATCGTAGTGCAGTTTCATCAATAGATTTCCTTTTCCGAGTGATCATCCAATTACTTATATGAAGGTCAAGAATTTAAACGATTTTTTTTAGTGGACAATTCAACAGCACATGGATTATGACTTGCCTCCTGAGGGGAGGCAAATCATAATCCAAATTTTTATTTTTTTTTATATTCAATTAAGACGGACGAAAGTCACGGTTGAAAACAAACAATGATGGAATTGATAGAAAAGTTTCATTGCAGAAAATATAAATTAAAAATATTCAAAACTCATCATTATAACTCACACACGATCGCAGTTACTAGCAGGTGTATTTCAAATTGTTTCTGCAACGATTACATGCGAGTTGTGAGAAGTATACAGGCTGATCCAAAATTCTTCGCAAACCATTGTTAGTTTCATTAATGCAGAAAATAACGTCTTCAGTATATAACACATACACATATACACAGACATACACACACATATATACCTACAGACATACCCACACATGCATACACATATAAATGGAAAATGGATTCAAATTGAAGTACATATTTGATTTGTTTTCGAAATGAATTTAAATACGTTCATTCTTTTCGATCTGACTTCACTAGAATATTTATTATATTACACATTTCCCCTGCATATATTCAATACAAAAAAATGTTGAGTTCATCAATAACGTGTCGTATTTCATACCAAGCGAAGGTTTCTGGTTCAGCAGTCCAAATCTCACCCCTACTAGTCGTAGAGGGCTGTTGAGGAACTAAAAACATAACTTAATCGTTTACTCATGAAAAAAGCTGTTTTGGAAAGATGCTTTGGAAACCTTATTCCTCCACAGAAATTTAAGTTTCATCAGTGGTGAATGAAAGATGAATTATAATGAATGGCAGCATCGATTTCATCTCGAACTTATCAGTTTGTGATCATATTCATTTAGATATTATTTTTGATAGTAAAAAAATATGGACATTTGAATAAATGATTATAATTTGATGACCATTTTTGATCTATGAACGATTTCAGATTTTTTATTTATGCAGGCAATTCATCAAAAATTTTTAAACAATTTGAAATCTGATAATACTTTCCTTTAGATTACATCAAAATGCAAATTATTGAAACTTTTTGTATTTTTCAATATATTATTTCAATATTTAGGAGATATTTAGACAATTTATATATCAATCACATTACCAAATTGAAGTCCTTCTTAGTAGCACAAGCGATCGTTGGAGAAAATTACATTTATTAAATTCAGTTGTACTCTGATTATATTGCGTCAAACATATTTGTAGGGTTTCTGGTCATGATCTGCAGATTTTTATACCTGACATTTCATCCAACACAGTTGTAAAAAAACTTTGGGCATGAAAAAAATAAAAACCTCTACCAACAAACCCGTAATAGTAATTTTCGTAACAATTTCCGAAAATACTGTCTATTTTGATCCAATAATTGTTGATAATTATTTAATTAAATCAATGAAAAGAGAAATGAAAATGTCTATGTTTTTTACCACTTTTATTTATTTGTCTCATTTTGCATACGGTGATTGCTTTTCCAAAAATCAAAATTTTTCTCATTTGCACTCAGAATGTATGAAAGCTCTACAAGAACTTTTGGTAAATACTCCCATCGCTTGGGTTTTGGTTTTCACTTTTTTATGCACCACCTACAACAGACGGCATAAGATGGAAACTCAGTTTCTTCTTCAGGACTATGAAAAATCATACACATTTAATATTTTTTAGGTTTCAAACATGAAATGAATGACTTTATGTCCTCTAGATGGCGCCATATTCAACTTGATGTGACGTTACATGACCTATAAACAGTAAAATTATGATAAGTAGTTTGAAAGTTATGAACATACATACATAAAATCATAATCCTCGTTTTGCTTCGCCGTACTCGGATAAAAAGTTGACAAATCATTTATTCAATTTCTTTTTTAAAATAATGACACTCAAACCGACAGTCACCTCACATACACTATATACATATAGTGTTATATGCAAATATAATGTTTATGATCAGTTATCGGATTGTTACTTTCTAAGCAAATAATTAGTTCCTCGTTTCAATAATGACGCAATTATTCATTTTATCAAAGGTAGCACTAGGATTGGAAACCAGAGGCGACCCCGGACCTCTTCCGCAGGCATCCAACATGAAAGCCTTAGAATGGGACCATGAACTGGCTCTTGTGGCAGGTCGATGGGCCGACCAGTGCATCTTCACTTACGATATATGTAGAGATGTCGCGCGATATCCAGTTGGACAAAATATTGCGAAAGGAAGTTACGCCTTCAATAATGCCATTTCGTTCATCTTTGACTGGTACGATAGTGTTGATATGTTGAAAGAGGAAGACATAAGATTTTTCAAGATCAAGTGAGTAGAATAAAAAAGTTTACAAAGTTTCGAGTTGTATGTTTATTGCATGTATAATTCCGACTTAAATATTCCATATAATTCCTTAATATTAGACAATAGAAGTCCGAACTGATGAAATACAATAATAAACTTACTGGAATTCTTGGAAATTAATTAACGTTCACAATCAAAATTTTTATTAAACCATCAACAATAAGTTATTCTCTCTCCACCAAATTAATTAGAATTAGTACTGGACTAACTGGATACCTGTTCGGTAATTAGTAATATGTATAGAATAACGTACTTCACTACGAAAAAGCTACTGAGATAGCGAAATCATGACATGTTTCGCTATCAAATAAAATTTGTGAAGATCGAATATTTAGGTGTAGTTTGTGAAATTACTATGGATCCTCATCAAGTAATGGCCTAGTTAACCAGAAAACTTAGTTATAGAGAATACTAATTATAGAACAGGTATCCAGTTAGTCCAGGACTAATTCTACTGAATTTTTCATGGAATTGAATTCAACAGTGGCGAGAGAATAACTTATTGTTGATAGTTTGATACAAATTTTGATTGTTCACGCTCAATAATTTTCAAGAATTCCAGTAGGTTCATTAATGTTTTGCCTTTGAAAATAAAGTTTATGAAGATCAAAACGTTAGGTGTAGTTTATGAAAAAATCTATAATCGAAGTAGGTCATTGATATAAATCGCATTGTAAATCAGTGTAGAGGACCAGTCCAACTGAGAAATCTACTGTTGTAGTGAAACGCGTATTGGTGAATCGTAATTGTTATCATTAATAGTTTTTCTAAAACCAAGTAGCGTTATTACACTGCCTGTAATAACTGAAAAACTGAAAGATTCAGCTGCCGGGAACGGAAATTCACAAATGAGAGTTATAAAATCATTCGGGTCACCACATTTTGGGCTTTGAGAGATGTACTGAATGAGGTCGAAACGCTCGTTCCGAATCAATCCCGTTTCCCGGTTCAGGAAATAGAATATAAATATACGACTGTCAGTGAGGGAGATTGTTACATACACATCTACATCTCTATCGAAGATATTCGTCTACGTCTGGTAAAAAATCACTGGTTTTCAATTTGGAAAATATTTCGCGTTCAATACATACGTTGTCAATTCCTCACGAGTCGGTTGGATTTAAAGATCGTTGATAGCGAAATATTTTGGCATAATACTGGAAGACACATGTTTATAGTTATTATACACTATTTGAAGGTTGATTTCTGAAATACATTGATATTCAGGATATTAAAAACTACCCGTAGAGTTTTCGAAACTTTTTTTTGGGGCTCACAATTACAGTTATAACTCATTTCCTATAAAGAAGGGATTAAAAATGCATTACCTCTGAAATACATTTTTTCGAAGCTGCACACAAAAATTCTGAACACGCCGGTAATTTATCTTCGTATATAAATGATACTTTGGGTCGCTCTTTCCGTTTTTGCTGTTGAGAAAAACCGTAAGACAACTCGGGACCCTTAGAGTAATCTTATTTTTCATTCATGAAAAACGGTTAGAATATTTCAAACTATATACAAAATTATGAATAAAAATTTTCGAGAAACAACCTTTTTCAGCTAAAACGAATAATCGATAGGAATATAATTTACACATATTACAAGGGCAAACTTTTGGGTAAATATTATGTGATTATTGGATGATTCAGAAGGGTTTTGTTGAGCCTTGGGATCTTTATTCCCAAATGTTATAATTGGAATAATAACTGATATGCGGGTGGAGGGTTCCAAAAACTATTGTCGACACAGACCATGCCAAGAAGGGGATCCGAAGTCCTGACAACTTTACAAGCTGTATCCAGTATCATTCTGTCATGTAGACACTCCTAACTCAAAAGTCCACGGCCTCCCTGTTGTCGGGGGAAGTACAACTTTGGAACGGACGATTTAGGATGCAAACTCCTATAGAGATGCATAATTTTTCAAGTCTTTACGTCGAATTGATACAGCTTTTCCCGAGTCCACTTCACTACTCCAAACGAGTAGAGTAAGATTGGAACGGCAAGCATATTTGTTGCAGCCACTCGTTCTTCCCCGACAGTTTGTCGAAGTTTGTGCTGATACTTGCCACGGAGAGAGTTTTTCACTGCTGTTACCTGTTGTGAATGGCATTGTTCCACCTTGAGGTAAGTATACGTCTCTCCGGCATCCAGATAGTATAGGATGCTTCCATCTACGAGCTGCACATCCTCTCCGTAGTCCCCGCATCGTCCTCTTTTGAGATGGACCATTGCACATTTGTCTATCCCGATTTTGATACCGATAGCATGCGTCCCTCAGAGGGACTGAGGGAATCACCCTGAAATGCACATCTTCTGAAAGTGACCCAACCTGCTTGACCAGATGTTATGGTGAAGCGAGTTTGCCAAAGTGAAATCAGGGCATCTCACTATTTTGTCGGGTACGGCGAAGCATCTGAGCAAGTGCAAGATGAGCTCATGCGAAATTGTATCAAATGCCTTACGGAAATCGATCCAGGCCATAGAGAGGTTACGCTTATATTGTATCGAATCCTGCGTTACACATATATCAATGAGCAGGTTCTCTTTACATCCAGCGACTCTTCTCTTCGACCCTCTCTGCTCATATATCCGTTCGAACACTCGGTCAACTGCGGTGACTATTCGTGTGTATAAGATGCTCGTAAACAACTTATAACACGAATTCAAGCATGTTATCGGACTGTAATTCTTAGGAATCGACAAATCTCCGCTTTTGGGGATAAGAACGGTCCGCCCCTCGACAAACCAATCCAGAATCGGCTGCTCTCCATCCAGCCATGAGTTGAAAACTCTGGCCAGATGACCAGATTATTATTATCTTTTTCAAAGAACATTTTTTCTTCGAAATTCAGTGAAAACTTACCTTTTTATGTCCCAAATACACTGTAATTTATTTGATTTAAAATATTTATTTTTCGCCTTATTTTTAATCGAAAATTCTCGCGTCAAAATATTAGCTTTTTTCAAAAAGTCGAGATGAATTTTTTTCCTTGAAATCTCTACTTTCTGATGGTATAAAAAAATATACAAATGTTCTCAGAAAATACAAAAAATCGAAAATAACTCAAATTCGAATAACTCAAATTCGACAATATTTTCAATCATTATATTAAATTTTATCAAAAAAAGTGATTGCTGTAATTTTATTTAGTTGAAAAGTGTATTTATCGTCAGGTCATAGAAAATCTCATAAATGCCACATTGATGTTGCTTCCAGTCCAAGTTCGAAGCTAATAATATGCCCTTTAATAATGTTGTTCTGCTGCTCTGTGCTCCAAAATGAAAGATGATTCAATATTTTTCAATCGATATTTTTGAAATCTTAATTGATTCAGTGTTATTTTTTCATATTTACATTTATAAATAGATTTGATTAATTGTGATCCATTTTTCATATCTTCTTTACTTGCATCATTCTTATAAAAAACATTGGCCAAATTTGAAAAATTTTCAGCATCTAATAATGAATTTACGATACTTTTCTTTTCTTTTCCGGCAAATCCAGATGTTGTATCGCAACCGGAAACACAATGCAGAAATGCAACAATATTTTTGAAGGATTCATGTTTGAAACTAATAGATGTGAAAAATAGATCCTTTACATTTCGAGATCCTGGTTTGAGAAAATAAATGTCATGATTATTTGAATTTAATTAATTTAAAAGAACCAAAGGATCAATATCTTGACCCATAACAATGACAGTTTTATTAGTATTTCTGGCAATTTCTATCGAGGTCTCAATTATGTCAGCATCAGCATCTTCTTCCACTTATTTACAGGAAAACTCTTGTGACAGTAATCTTTTTATTAAAATTTTCATTATTTTGTCCTTGTTTTTCTCGTTAGATAAAAATTTTTCTTGCAGAAATGGTATTTTTGAATTGAAAGTGTTATATTTTTAGGAGTGATTATTTTTGGGAAAGAAAGTTTTTGGCTTTCTACTACTTCATCTTGATACAAAAAAAGGATGAGGGAATCTTTTGAATATATTCAAAACAGTAATAAATAGGCATCTAAAATATCATTCAAAGAAGATTCTACAACCTTCTCAAAATATTGTAGATGTCTTAATAAATATTACCTTCATTAACTTATTTGTTTGTTAATTATAGTAGTATATTTTGATTTGCAATTTTTTCGTTTATCAATGTTACATGGAATCTTACGTTTTTTGAGTATTTAAAGTGTAAATTTCAATAAATAGCTCAACATTGTACATAATGATTATAAAAAAAATCGAATTTTAGTTTTTTTCGATTTATTGCATTTTCTGAGAACATTTACTTTAGTGATGTATATTTTTCACAACATCAGAAAGTAGAGATTTCAACAAACAAAAAGCACACCGACTTTTTGGCGCCAGAATTTTCGATTGAAAATGAGGGTGCTTTTTCGATATTAACTCAAAATAAGGTAAAAAATAGATATTTTAAATCAAATGAATTACAGTGTGTTTTGGACATGAAATGGTTAGTTTTCACCAAATTTCGTAGATTTTTTTTCTAAAAAGAAATATTGTAAAAGATAAACTTGGTTATTTGAATTTTTCACATAAGTTGTTGATCTTTTCATTACCTACAACTTTGACACCTGACATTTTTTCATAGGACTTTTTACCCTTAAAATCTCACCCCCTCCCACTTCCCGAATTCAGATCGCCCGTAATTCATTTTTTCATTAATTTTTATCATATTCCCTTCCTTTTTTAATGGGGTTCATCCCACTATTATTTTTTCCCTTTTTTAAACACTTTTGAAGGCTTCGGCCCTGCTCTAAACCTACTCTCAAACTACAAAACCAGATTATTGTATAAAATGACAGAATTCTTAAACAGACAAAATCAGTATGCTATCATCCAGTGGTACTGGAAGGAGCCTGAATAGTCTTCAGGAGTTCAGATCGCGTTCTCTCCATCATTCGTAACCATGAGAGAGCAGAAATTGAAACATTTCTATTCG